TTTTTTTTTTTTTTTTTTTGTTGATTCGAGTTGGCGAAGGGAGAAGGAGAACAAAGGAGGGTTGGAGATCGAAGGGATGAAGAAAAAGGGATGAAAGGGAGAGGAAGAGAGACGAAAGAAAACTCACGTGAGATGGAAGAGGTGGGTAAACATGTAAATTCAGATATATAATTGATTTTAAATTATTTATTTTGTTTAATTAAATAGTGATTACTTTGGAATTCATTAGTTTTCCATCAGCTATTTTCTTTCTTGGATGGTCTTTCCATGAAAAGCATAACTTTGTGTATTTCTTCGAAGTAAAGAAACTATTCCTCCTCTATAAAGTATTAGAAGCTCATTTGAGTTATTTGCTTGCTTCCCCCACAATCGGATTGTAGATCAAAATGAAGCCTTTTGCTAGGTTGGTAATTAGGCAGCTAGCCCAACAAAGAATGGGCTAGGGTAGCTTAATATGGTTAATGCAAAATGGGCTTGATTTGTAGTTAAGCCCATCCATTTTGTTTGCTTTTCCAGCCTTGGCCCTCCGTTAATTTTGTCTCATTTTGATCCAGTTTGAGGCAAAGCCTCCACGTTTGCATGGCGGAACCAGATTTGACTAACGGGTAGAATCTATTCTATTTTTGTATCAATAAGATTCAAAATTAAAAAGTCATAATATTATCCTTTTTTAATAAGTAGGACTTTACAACTATAAACCTTTAAAATTATAAAAGTTTTTTGAGAGAATGGTACGGTTTATGCCTAATCCTTCCCCAACACAATTCGGCCCTTGCACTACGTATGGTATGTGTTTCAAGTTGCATGTTATCATTTGAGAATAAAGTTAGCTGAGTGAAAAATATTTGAGACCAAAGTTCCAAATGTAAGTACATTTTACAATATAAACCATAAAGTTTTAGTCTTTTTTAATAAAAATTAATTAAAACAACATAATTTTAATGCGTTTGTTTATGTAATTTGTTAGGCAAAAACTTACTTTTATCCTCTCACCTTATCGAATTTGAAGGTTTTAACCCCTTACTTTATATTTGGATACTTTTAACTTCTTACCTTACTAGATTTATAAGTTTTAACCCTTCACATATTAAAATCAAAGAAAATACCCTTATTTTATAGTAACTATTAACTCTGTTAGCTGAAAATAAGTTTTTATCAACTAACAGTCAACTAATAATTAATTAATATAATTAAAGAAATATTATAAAATTAATTCTATTAATTCTGTTAGTTGAAAGAAAATTTTTGTAAGTTATCAGTCAACTAACTGTCAATTAATAGAGTTAACAGTCAGCTAACAAAACTAACAAAATGTTACAAAGTGAGGGTTATTTTCTTTAATTTTAATAAATGAGGGACTAAAAGTATCATTGTATAAAGTGAGGGGTTAAAACCTACAAATCTAATAAGATGAAAGACTAAAAAAATTATAGTATAAGTTGAGAAGTTAAAATCTTCAAACTTAATAAGATGAGGGGCTAGGCTTTTGCCAGTTTTTTACATGTACAATTGATAAACAATCTTTTCATCTAATGTATCTAAAGGATTCTTATATTATAATTAAGAGTATACATTAAAAATATAGTTTGTTTTATAAGTTTATTAAAATAATTTTAATAAAATAATGTAAAAAATAATTTTATTAAAAATATTTTAATAAATCCATCAGATAAATTGTACTTTTTATATACAACTCGTTGTATAAAATATATTTTTTTGTATATCTAATATTATTTATTTATTAATATTTTATATAATTTTAAGATAATAAAAAGACAAATATATATATATATATATAGATATATACACATTAGAGCTCAAAAAAAAAAAAAAATTCCAAACTAAGCTTAAAGGAATTTTCTCGTATGGTGAGCTGGAACGATAGACATGAAATGCCAGAGCAAGGTCAGAAAATATGATATAATTAGTAATTACAATCTCATTGTAAATTTAAAATGTTGATATTTTGTTATATTAATTAATAATTCTTTTAATTCAAAATTTTATTTTAATATTTTATATATTTACTTATTTAATAATATATTAAAATTTTATTAAAAATATAATTATAATATCATGAACTATAATTTTATAAATTTAAATTTTTAATATTTGAATATATAATTAATACTTTTCATTAAAAAAATATATAATGCTATGAAATATTATTTTAATTATATTGTTGCCATTTAATATTATCTGCTAAGATGACTGCACTCTGCCGAAATGACAATTTTTAAACCTTTTTGAAGGATCTCCATCTATGGTACATATGGTAATGGTATGTACATATATTTTTAGTAAGTAGTAAGTATAAGTTTGACCCTGCAAAGTGCAAATTAAGGGCTGATTCTTTCTCATTAGGATGTTTCTCTAGACTCTAGTCTATATATAGCCCCAACTCCACTCCATTTCATTTGAGGTGGATTATTAAGATAAGGTGACAACAAACCCCAAAATCCCAACAGCCATGCAATTGTACATTTTATTTAGTCTCACCAGAGCACTGAAAGTAGGCGTAATGGTCCCTGTTAGGTCTGGGCATTTGGTTCAGATTGTCCAAACTAAATTAAATTTTTAGTTAGTTAAAATAATTTTGAATAAGATTTTTATACTCAATTTGAACTAAATTTTTAATTTGGTTCTAATTTAAAATTATTTAAATAATTTAATTGATGAATCTAAATAACTAAAATATATTATTATTCTTCACTTTTTGTTATTAAAAGCTTTTTGCTATTAATTTTGATTATTTTTAGTCTTTTTCTTCATATTCCTATATATATTTGACTAAAAAAAAAAGAATTTTGTCCCAAAAAATTTTATATAGCACAAATACTAAAATAAAAAATAAAATAAATTTATACTAAAAAATTTCAAATAATTATGGATAATTTAATAGTTCACATTGGTAATTTCATATACAAGAAAAATAACTCTATATGGATCAAAATTAATTTCAATCATTTCAGTTTTATTCAAATTTATTTAAATATCTAAAATATATAAACCAAAATTAAAAAATTTAGATTAAAAATTCGGATAGTTGAATAATAATATCATACCGTGCACACCTCTGGTCCATGGAAAAACGGAGGGCTTTGAACTCCGTCTCACCAGGGCTGATTCTTTCTCATTAGGATGTTTGGGCCATGTTATGCATTCTTGCTTTGGGCTTGGCCCTTTCTTAGCATAAATTCAAATTTAACTCCATTATAGGCTATAGCCCAACACACTTCCTCCATTTTCGACTCCAAATCGTTAGTCACTTAAGCCCAAACCATTTTCGACTCTAAATCGCTGAAATTTTTTTTATTTTTCTACCATAATACTTGTCTACATACTGTTCATGAGGCTGTTATTATTTATGTACAAACCTCAAGGAGTGTCTTTTACACTAGTATAAAATAAATGCAACTCTTCAAAAGATTATAGTTCTTTTATATCTGGTGTTTATATCAGTAAACTTTTGAAATATTTCTGCCATTTGAGACAGTTGTTCCATTGCAAATTCAAAGATGAATTTGAAAAATTTTCAGGTAAAGTAGTTTCAAAAACTGTTTTCAATTAATTCTTTTCTATCTTTCTCTTTTTCTCTTTCTTTTATGTTCTGACATTGCTTCATGTTTCATGTATCAAAAACTGTACCCACATGAATCCCCTAAAAGTAATGTATATATATATATTTTTTAAACAGTGTAAAATTTTTTCAAAAAAGGAAGAAAGAGGATCTGGGATTTGATTCCAAGTTCGCTAATCCTACACATGTTCCATGAGGGGTGGTCAATAGACCACCAAGTGCGGGACCTAAAAGTAATGTATATATATGTAATATATTATAGGATATTATATGATGTAAATAAAATATATATTATTAAAAAATACTTTATATATATATATACATATATGTAACAGAGAAGCAAGACAGTTGGTTTGTGCTGTCTCAATGGTGAGGCCAGGTTGTATTAATTGGGTTTTGTTGTCTGATCATGGCTGAATTACTTAGTTTTATTAAATGAGTTCCGCCTAAAAATTAACATTATAAGTTGATACTTTAGTTTTCTCATATAAAATTATTTACTAAAATTTTATGTAAAAATTGAATTAAGATAATAAATTAAATTAAGTATCAATTATGGTTTGGGTCTCATATGCACCTATATAATTTACAATTAAAATAATTTTAATTTAAAATTTTTATCTTAAATTTAATCTCAATAATCATTACTTTTAAATAAAAATAATTCTTTTTTTTTTTTCATGAAGAAAAATAATTTATCCCAGAACATTTTTTAATTTTGAAAGTGAGTGGAAGGCAACATCAGCCATGACGTGAAGAAGCGGGCCAAAGTTTGTTGAACATTGAAAATAATT